TTAAACAGGTCGCCACTTTATGTTTAACAATGCCTTTACTCCTCTTATGTTCTTCATCTTCTCCATACACTTTATAACAATATGATTTAGGTTTCAAACCTATGAAGTGTGTCATTATTTTCCATTTAACTCATCCTTCATTTTCCCAAGAACTTTTTTATTAGAAGCATTATAACATTCATGATTTTTAGGATAATCTGAAAAATCCATATGTTGATTTATAGCTTAAAATCTGTGTAAATATCATCAGTTTCAACATGGATAATAAAACTATCAGTGTCAGTATATGCTAATTTTATTTTATCGTTATATTTAGGTTTTAATACATCATAATAAAAAGAATACATATGAATTTTAGAATAATCTAAAATTGATAGACCCATATAAATAGGTTTATCTAATTCTACCATTGCCTTTTCAAGTTCTACCACCACTAAATCTTCATTTATAATGTGTCTATGTTTGTATGATGGTTTATTTACTAATTTCTGGAAGCGTTCAGGTGTATTGATTAGTCTGAAGTCATTGTGATTACGAACGTTTTCGAGTGTTTTTCCATATACAGCGTTATTTAATAATTTGAATAAATCTTTTTCAAATTCAGTTTTAGCATTCTTTCGTTTTTCGGTATTGAAATCAATGTATGGTTTTAAGAAATCTGCTTGATTAAAACTAATTACCCTATGGACTTTCTTTAGTTTTAATCCATGCTCTAAATAAAACTTCAATGCTGATATATGTAATACATACTTTTTCTTATCCATAACATTTAATATTAGTTTATTTGTTTTTTCATCAGATGCATCTTTTCCATAATATTTTTTATGTATTTCTTTTTGAACTGGTGAAAGCATATTCTCACTAACACTCATAATTTCTGGTGCTAATGGATAATCTCTATGTAAATCATGTAATTCTTTTGGATATTCTAAATCAACTTCTAAAATATAGCCTTTGTCATCATCATCGCTATAACTTAATACTTTCTTCTCATCCATCCTTGAAAAATACCAATTGAAATTATCAAACGGTAGTTTTTTACTCATAGCCAGACCATACAAGTTATTAGCATCTAAATAACTTATATAACTTGATGGTTTTGACAAGTCATATTGTTCATTCATGTATTTATTATTTGCTTCTACTTTTTTATGAGCACATTGAGTCATCCCGCCACGAAGACCTTTTTCAATCATTTCATACATGTCTTTATTATGTATTTGTTGAAGTCTAACACCAGTAAGAGATAAGAAGGCAGACCACGAATAATTAGGTAATGTTATGTAATGAGCAGGGTCTAAACCATAATAATTTAAACACATATCCCTAAAGTTTTCAAAAACATCACTAAGCAAATAAACATCTGTCATCAAATATAAATCATGGTAATAACCTAGGTTTTTGATATTGAAATTATCCCATATTACTTTTGCCCTTGTGTGTTGTGTATCTGTTATGCCTTCTTCATATAATTGACTGTAAAAGTCTTCTATACTTGGTAATTGCGATTCATTGAATTTATCAAATGAATTCATGTAGTCGTAAGGATAAACTCCTTTTTCAGTTAATAAGTCTAAATCGGTTTTATTTCTAATATATGGATTTGCTGATGAAAATCGGAAATTATCCTCCCAGTCATTCCGCTTTTTATATATAGGTTTATCATGTTCATCCTGACCTACTATGTCATATTTATTTAACTTAACTAATTTATCCAAAGATGCAGAGAGAAAAGCCATGCTATCTTTAAACTGTAATGAACCAAATGAAAATGTAATAAACTTTTCGCTATTTTGTGCTATTACATCTATTCTCTTATTTTCGTTCAATTCCTTATTTATTTCATTTGCTTTGCCTATTATTAAGTGAGAGTCATAGTTTTTTAAATTATGAAAAAATACTGGTATCTTGAAATATCTAAATGAATAATCCAAATTACATTTTTCGTGAGCACAACCTCTATAAATACCGGTAAAATGACAGTGGTCTCTGACTTTTGTATCTTCTGGTTTAAAATTCTTATTACATATTGAACATACAGTAGCTTTTCTAAATTCTGCTTCTTGTTCATCTGTAATATCCATTGGTTTATTAACATTCATTTTATCAAAAATATCTTTTTTAATTTCTCTTAATTTATTTACAAAGTGGTCTAAACAATCCTCTCCACGGTATAAAAAAGGTTGACTTGTGTTATCAATAGAATTTACAACATTCAACATATAACCGCATGGTTTATGTTCCTGATACGTGCCCTTGATGCCATTATTTGAATTTACAGTTATACACTCAAAATCTCCATAAACAACAAATGGACATTTTAATTTTGTATTGTATTTTTCAAATTCAATATAACTACCTTCTTTTGGTAATTTAAACTGTTGTCCATGTGTTGCCATACAACCAGTTTCATAATGTTTTGTTAATAAATCCTTTCTAGTAAAGGCATGAGAACAATAATGACAATAATGTTTTGGTTGGTCATTTTTGTTTGTTTGCCAGTTCATTAAACGACTTAGACTTTTAATAACTACATAATGATTATTATTATTGATTTCAATTTTCAAAAGGTTTATTTGATGTTTAGCATCTCTTGTTTTAGTTCTGTAATCAATTATAATTTTCTTTTCATTCAAAGTATCATCAATTTCATAAACATTGATTGAAACTAACTTACTATTATTTTCTTCAAACCTTTCAATATCTTTATTACCAGTTGGAAATTTAACACCTTCCCAGTTTAAGATATTGTCATTTAATTTGTTGTAATGGAACATTTCTTGGGAATTTGATTTATTAATTATATCAAACACTACACTTTGAACACTATATTTAAAACATTTGTTATCTGTGTTTTTGATATTAATACATGCCTTTTTTAGTTTAATCCATTCTGGTAAATCTATATAACTACCCGCCCTAGTTGGGTCATATTTGTCATAATGGATTGTTATTGATAATATTTTTATAAATTGTAAATTAGATGCTGAACCTTCTAACTTTTCTATGTTCAATAAAATCTCTTTGATTGATTTTTCAATTGCTTTATCCAAATCGGTTTCATTATATATGTTTGCCCTTGTTGCAGGTAAATTATAAAGTATCTCTGTATGTTTTATTACTCCATCATCATCATAATAATGATAAAATAAACCTTCTGCCCTTATATTCAGTTTCATTGCTCTATTAGTTTTCAAAAAGGTCAAAAGTCTATCTTTTTGGTGGTGTATCATTGATAGTGCCTTTTCACCTTGAAAATGTTTATTTACTAGTTTTATAGAATTAGCATAACTTTTGAAAGCTGATTGTTGGTCTGTTACTTGGAATTTATTTTTGATTGCATATTTTGTCATTGCATTTTTCATTCTTTGTTTTAGGTATGTTGAGCGCAATGTTTTTGTTGCATAACTATTATACTCATTAGTTCTTGCTTCTGATTTTAATTTCTTGTTCAAAACATTTGAGATGGGTTTTTCTTTGTTGTATCTAAATTTTCTACCATCTATAATTATTGATTTTAATTCCTTGTTTCCTCTTTTTGGAATTTCCGCTTTATCATTATTCAACAGATAATCTATAACATGTTTCATAATACTATACTATATAAATTTAATGTGTTTATTTCTTTAAGTGGCTTTTTAGAAAATATACTTAAAGATTTAAAACCTTAATATAATAAGAGGAAAATGAACGGTGATAAAATCAATAATTATATCAATAAAAAATGCTATGATTGTTGTCACTTCAAAAAAGAAAATATGGAATTGTATAAATTAAATTTACCTAATGAAATAGTGAATAATATTATTAATTATTCAATGGATGAAAAAGACGAATGTGAAAATTGTCAGGAATGGAGAGATAATCAATTTTTAATCAAATGTCTGTTGAGAATAAAAGGAAGACATAATAGAAATGTAGAAGATGAGATTTTAATATTTCTAACTGTAAATAAAATACCACCTTATGATTATGTTAAACAGTTTCTTAAAATCAGTAAGAAAAAATATGACATGATTTATGATATATTATGGATGTTGGGATATAGTCAAGAGAAAGGGGAAGATGTTAAAGAAAATATCAAATTATTTATTGAAAGTAAAAAGTTTAATATTCAAAATACATTGAGAGATATTAATATTATTTTTAAAATGATGTATGAAAGAAGAAAGATTTGTCAATTAAATTATTATCCTGTACTGAAATTATAATCATACTATAATAATAACATGTAAAATCTTATATGTTATAATTATACTGTACTTATGGTTTGTAAAGATTGAAATATTTCATTTTTTCTTGATTTGGCTGACTCTTTCAAAGTGCGTTGTTTGAACTTGGCATGCTCTTTTGATTTTTTCGTGCTTTGGCTGTTTGTTTTTTATTTTGTTTGATACTCTTCTGATATTTTTTGATGGTATGTTGCTTTGTTTTTGATTTTGTGTGTTTTTGAGATTGGGTTCTTTGATGGTTTTTATTTTTGCTGTTTTGTTGGTATGCTTGTTTGAATTATTTAATGTTTTATGCTTTGATTAAATATTTTGTTGGGGGTTGTTCTGGTTTTTGAGTTGCTTGGTGGTTCTTATCTTGTTTTCTGTGAATTTTGCTGATTTTGTTGTATGCTGTTTGATTATTTGGTTTTGATGCTACAAGTGCCATTTTATGTATTTTTTGGGGGGGGGGGGGCATTGCTTGCTGGCTCTGGGTGGGACTCAGATCGAACCTCCTTGAACTTTGCGTTGACCATGTTCGACGGATCGAAATCTTGCGAGCCCACAACATCCTAAACTCTTGGAACCCTAGACTCAAAGACTCAGAGTAAATGGGGCGTTGGCAAGCGGTTCCTTAGAAGCGGTTCCTTAGAAGGAAGGGAATGTGTCCTCCCGCGTTTTGAGACAGGCCCAAAACCCTTGGTAGAGGTTCAAGTCGTTCAAGTCGGTCGGTGAGACATGCCCAAGCCCCGTTGGTAGACCCCTCTCGTCGCTCGACCGGTCGAGAAGGTTGAGGCCAAGGTTCTCCACCCACCTGCTGGATCTTCTGGGGAAGCGCCATCTGCCAGACGTGGCGAAGCAGGTTCTGGAGTGCATGTGGAAATGGAGGCCAGAGCTTGGAGCTGCGAACAGGTGTGAATATATATATATATATATGTATATATGGGTTTGTCCTTTTTTGGTGTGTTGAGTTGCTTCAAAAGGCAGAAGGTGGGACCTCCCCGAATCATACCCCCGAATCATACCCCCGAATCATACCCCGAATCATACCCCCGAATCATACCCTTTAAAACGTATGCTGCAAGATGCTACTGTTCTTCTACCGTTTTGTGTTGTTCACTGTCTCCAGAATAACCACCACCAGCGCTACCCAATACTACCACTACCACTGCCACTACCACTACTACTACTACTACCACTACTACTCCAATTTCTACTACTACTGCTACTACCACTACTACTACCACTACTACTGCTACTACCGCGACTACGAGTGTTACTACCACTACCACCGCTACTACCGCTGCTACTACTACTCTACTGCTTCTACTTCTGCTTCTGCTACCCTTACTACTAACTACTACGACTACAACCTTGACTACTACTACTACTACGACTACTACCTTTATTACTTACTACTACCGACTACAACCTTCTACTACTACTACTACTACTACTACTACTACTACTACTACTACTACTACTACTACTACTACTACTACTACTACTACTACTACTATTCCTGCTTCTGCTGCTGCTGCTACTACTCACTACTACCACATACATCATTCTGAGTCTGTAATCAGTGCCGTTTTGCACCTAGCCGAATCATACCCGCGAATCATACCCGAATCATACCCGGACAATGAGCTTCCCCTGCCAAGGCTAGTGCTAAGTCTTTTCACAGCGTCCGCACCACTACAGCCGCTGCTGCTTATGCTACAGCTGCTACCACTACTTCTGCAACTGCTACTACTACCTACCTACCACTACTACTGCTACTACTACTACTACTTCTACTACTACTACCACAGCTACTACGAGTTTGTAATCAGTGCCGTTTTGCACCTGGCCGAATCATACCCGCGATCATACCCGAATCATACCCGCGCAATGAACTTGCCTTGCCAAGGCCAGCGCCAAGTCTTTTCAAAGCTTCCGCGCCACTACAGTCGCGGCTACTACTGTTACTACTACTACTACTACTACTACTACTACTACTACTACTACTACTACTACTACTACTACTACTACTACTACTACTACTACTACTACTACTACTACTATTGTACTACTACTACTAGTACTACTACTTCGGCGACTACTGCTACTACTACCGCTGCTGCTGCTGCTTCCGCGAATCATACCCCCGAATCATACCCCGAATCATACCCGCGAATCATACCTGCGAATCATACCCCGTACTCAACCCTTCCTGCCCGGCCACCTTAAAAAATACAAACCCATATATATGTTTATACATATGTATATAAAATATTTATATTGCTTACATAAAGTATACCGTATTTGTATACTATAAGTATTACACACACACACACCGCAAATTCACCAAGGTTCTCTTGTAAGCAATCAGATCAACAAACTAAATGACCAACAGTGTTTTCCATGGGCATACTACACTCGGATCCCTGCCACCTGCGCATTGGGTCGCTGGCATGTCTATCCAACCAAGCTCCAACAGAGTTAACCGAATCGTTTTGGCCCTAAACATGCAAAGCAACAAGGTGTTGGCGCATTTTTCCAAACACACATGAGGCCTGCAAGTCTCAAGTACCCTGCGAACCCTTCAGACCAACTTCAACACGATTCTGTTCAAGAAGGCAGTTTGACAAGCCAAATTTGCACGCTAGCACGAAAGGCTGAGGCAGCCTTTGGATGTCTTTCTTAACACGTGATAGGGGACTGCATGGGACCTAGAGTCCTATAAGAATGCCTCCTTTCTTGTACATTTTTCTTCAAATCCTATGTGTTGAGCTGTTCGTCATTCGATTCTTTTCTAAGCATATTTTGAATGGTTTCTCCCCTTCTTGCGTTCGGAGATTTCCATTCTGGCAATGTTGGCCTCTCCTTGCTCTTGGCTTCAAAGAACATGCTCCAACGCCAGATGTTGCGAGCGCAGCAAGCTTCAAGCTGAGGCTGCTTTGTTTTGACTTGAAATCGTGAGACAGCGCTGGAGCCTACGAGGGTAGGCGGAGCTTGAGAAGGGTGTTGGCAAACAGAAGACGAAGAACTCGAGGTGGAGACATATCGAAGATTTTGAACCGGAACGTGGTTTCGCCGTGTAAAAAAAGGTATCAGGCTGATGTACAATTTAATAGTATCTAAAGTCGTTCCCTTTTTTGCCTCTTTATCAGATCTCTCCTTTGGCCCTCCTGACTTCAACCTCTCCGTCCTGCTCCCCACTCAACTGTTCAGACCGTGTTTCTGAAGGAGTGCATTCGCACACACCCACACACACACATACCTATAGCGGAGGCTGGAGATCAGC